TGATTCCCTTTTTACATAAAGTTTGCAGCAGTTTTCCCGTAGAATGTACATCCATAACAAAATGTTCTCCAGTAAGTAACAGTGACATTTGCCAACACTATATAAGCCTTTCTTGGTTGGGAAATGCCCTTTGGTTCACGTGTGTATATACACCCGATATGGGATTTTTTTAAAGAAAAAGTCAAGTTTATTTGCCCTGAAGGCAACGGGGGTTTTTCTTTCGTGGATTTTTTTACGATTACAATGGATCGTCAAGTTTATTTCAAAAATATTTTCAGAATTTTTTTAGTTCATATTGAATTAGTAATTTTTTTCCAAACGTCTATATCCTGGGTGCTTATATGTTCTCCGCTCTGTACTTTAACAAAAATTCCATGTTCTGTGCACCTGTATTATTCTGGCATTTCCTTTATCACATCCCTTTTGATCTATTCCGAATTTTGTGGTTGACAGATGACCGGAATAACATAGAGAGATTGACACTGGCTGTCCTTTCTTACATGCCAATTGCTGTTCTGTATGTCCATGATCTATCTGAAGACTGTGGGACTAAGGTGGCTGATCAGGTGCATCTTTTATTTACCTCTCCATTTTTATTTTCTTTGTCACTTATAGGTTCTAGCCTCCCAATACCAAACAGATGACGCAGTCAGCCGGTCAGCCCATTGGTTTTGCATTCTCCCACTTGATTGGTTGTACTAAACACAACTTCTTCCTCCTTTGCAGTACATCACGTACAAGCATATAAAGGAGCGGTTTGGCGACCGTCTTTGGATCGACGTCGTGTCCAAATGTGATCTTCTGGACAGGGCCACGCCCTCCAGGTTCGACGATGCCGCTGATGATGGCGTCGATGATGAATTAAGGAGATACAGAGAGTTTGGACCGGAAGACGCCATCCGGGTGTCCGTGCAGAGCCAAACCGGAACACAAGAGGTCAGCAAAACTCATGGCTGCCTCATGACTATAGTTGTGAATCGTCTTATTGTGCGGGCGGTTATGCGCCTCTTTATGCGACTGTGAAAATCATGACCGTGTCTGGGCTAATGTGCGATTGTATATGTCTCCTTTTTCTTCCCCAGCTGAAGCAACGGGTGCATCATCTGCTAACCTCTCAGATGGCCCGGATCAAAGCTGCCGGGGGCGACAACGATGAAGCCGTCAGTGAAGTTAGATGAAAAGGGATCGCGTGTTGGACAATATCGTTATAGCTTAGCTGTTCTTGTGGAGCTGATCTGGTCAGCCTTATCTCATGCAACATGCATGGCGCGTCACCCACGATGGAGGCATCAGTCAGCCAGGTTCCCTCCCTGGAGCATCGATCAGCTTGAACGTTTTCTTCACGAGCTTCTGCTCCAGCGCCGTCCTTCGGTGGGAGCGCGCGGTCAGGCTGGCTGCTGCTTTGGAAGTAGACCTCTTCAAACTTCTTCACCCACTTGTATGTACGACATTTATATAAACAAAACGGCCGTTCATATGTATGTATGTACTCCCTCTTTAAAGAAATATAAGAGCATTTAATCATTAAAGTAGTAATCTAAAAGCTCTTATTTTTTTTTACAGAGGGAGTATATCATATAGGAGCAACTTCAGCAGAGTTGTCATATCAAACCACTGAACATAATAATCGTCTGTGGCAACTTCAGGAGATACTTCTTCGGTGCAAACTTTGACAAATGACCTTGGTGCTTGCAAGTTTTCATCCCGAAATAACATTTGTGAAAGTCATGGCAAAAAAACATAAACCTCACCACAAATAGTATTTTTGAAGTGTTGATTTTGTTTTTTTACAATGACTTTCATGAATGTTATTTTGGAATGAAAATTTGCAAGCACTTGTCGCAAAAAATAATTCTTAATTTTTTGAATTTCTTAATTATTATTTTCGATTTTACTGTAAATTCAGAATGTTATTTCGGGATGAAAAGTCGGTGAAGGTAACCACCCGGTCCTCCTACACCGTAGTAATTTTTTAGAGAGCGCTGCAATAACAAGGCCCGAACACCCGGCCGAAAAAATTGATGATCTATCCTAGCCGAGCCGCTCCACATGCAGGCCCACCTATACGACACCAAACAGAGGCCCGTTGGCCCACATTTTCCTAGTAGCTAGTATTGTCTCAAAAAAAAAACTAGTAGCTAGTAAGTTTCTCTCTAAAAAAAGCTAGTAAGTTACACCGATCTAAAAAGAAGGTAGTAAGAGCATCTACAACCAGACGCCTCAAACCATTCCACATACATTTGCGGGTGCGCCCGATCAATGACTAGATAGGAGGAGAAGAAAAAACGTGATCCAACCGGACCCCTTATATTATCCGTAGGGCGTAGACGCCCGGGCTATCTGCGAATCCTCATATCCATCTCAAATATGGGGAGGATATGAGGGCTTGCGGACACGCCCGGGCGCTTCTGGGCATTCCGTCACGTAGGATGCGGCCTCATCCTAGACCACCTTTTCTCTTTCTTTATTATTTTTTATTTCTCTTTCTTTATCTTCACCAATCACATGCAAGTGACTGGACATACGAGAAGAAAAATGAGGAGTGTGGCTGCGCGGACGGATAAATAGAGACTCAAAACGGGCGCGTCCGTGGGCGTTTTAAGGGGTCATATTTGCTATGTCTGGTTGTAGATGCTCTAAGTTACAAACGCAAGAGTAAGTGTGACTGGATATCAACAAACCAGGTCATAATGTACAAATATATAAATTTTGAAGTCGTACATCCATGAAACATGAGAGTAGGTTTAAGTCACATCGCTCATTCCGTTAAAAGTTAAATTATGACTACCGAATACGCGATCATCGCGTGGTATATACTGGACCAAACTCACGTGTAGTATATAAGAATAGCTAAGTGCTCCGTCCGCAAACATAAATGGACATTAGGAAAGATGCTGCCATAGCTTGGAACAAAAAATAAATAAGTCATATATAGTAAAAAATAAATGCCAATTGTGTAGAAAGAAAAAAATATTGGAGAATTTATGCATGTATGGAAGAGTCTAGAACAAACAACAAGTGGTTGTTTTGTGCATATTTTGCAATGTGAATGATATTGGTACTACTTAAAAAGAATGTAAGGCTTGATGTTTCACTTTTCTTTCCATTACCCCTTTCTTCAACCTTCTTCGTATGATAACCAGCCATCTTTAACTTGTCTTCTGAACTAATTTCACTTTAATTTACTACTAAATCTCTTTCTCTATCTCTACTACTTAAAAAAAAATGTAAGGTTCCATGTTAATGTTTTCTTTTTTTACCACTACCCATTCGTTCAACCTTCCCCGTATGATAATCAATCACCATAATTTACTTACCTTCTTAACTTATTTCAATTCAATTTACTAGCAAACTTATCATCAAAATATAAGGTAAATCATGAACAAGATTTGATAAAAATTTATTTATACTTGGCGTTAATATGGGCAAGTAAATCAAAAGCTAACTAGAACATTTATATCCCGTTGCAACGCACTGGCATTGTCCTATTAATAAACTTAATACTTCCTCTGTTCCACTATATAAGCTGTATCGATTTTCGTGCAACTCAAATTTGTCTATGTTTGACTAAGGTTATAGAATACAAAATAAATAAAACATTAAACTAATTTTCGTGATGGATCTAAGACACAAATTAGGTACCATAGATATTTGTTTTTTTCTTCTAAAAATTGGTCAAACATGCATATGTTTGACTTTTGAAAAACTAATATACCTTATATTTTGAAACAGAGAGAGTAGGCCGGCAACATTTGGCAAGTATGCATCTCCAACAGCAAAAAGGAAAACAATCACTAAGAAAATAAAACATAGAACTAACTGAAATTTAATAATGATTCTTCCAGCCGCTTTTGTTAATATCCTTCAACCAACAAATCCAGTGCATCTCGCTCTGTATATACCTTTTATTGCAAAAATGATTAGATTTATTATAAAAGTTTAACAAAGTACAAAGCATCTCAAACATAATAAAAATTATATTGAGATTCTGAGACCACCTAACGTCCACTACTGTCACCAGAACGATCCGCGGACGCGCTGTTGTTGTCGATTCCCTACCGGAGCTGGCTTGACCTTATCGATGACAACCGAAAAATCTTCGTGCATGCGCCCCTAAGGACCAGCGCCTTGAATCCGTAGTCGTCGTCGTTGAGCCCTTGAATATATCTGAAGCACTTGCCGCCAATTCTCGTCACATGCAAGAAACCCTGACCTCACCACCCTAAGGAGACGACATGAATCTAACCGGAGCTTCGTCGACTATGTCCAGACAGACAAACTCGAGGAGGATCGGAACCCGAAAGACAAACTTAAATAAGAAGCGTCACCATCAACCTAATCGCCGCCTGCATGGATTAAAAACCCTAAAACCTAAACTACTAACCAGAGCGAAGGCACCAGGATTCCCCTCCCCCCACCAGCCGCTGAAGCGGCTGACAGAGGGGAGGCGAATCCACATGCTTGTTGGTAAAGTCCGGAGGAAAAAGTTTGCCCTATCTACCTAGAGTCAGGGTAGGAAACCTAGAGAAAGGCTCCTTTTAAGCTTTATTACACGTTCTCTACTACATATACTATGCATGAGCGCACATGCAAGTATGCACCGACTATAATAATGGAAGAACGCACACACATATCTGAGCCGATCGAGCTGAAATAGTAGCTAGGATGATACTATTTTCATTCAGCACCAATGTGCACTAGGATCAATTTGCTTTCGGTTTCAAATTTTTGATTCCATGGGGGCAGCTGCTGGCTACTCAACCTTTTTCAATATCGATCTGTCCGATGCAAGCACGCGAGCGAGACGAATATTGGACCACGCCAGAGTACTATACACACCGTACTGACTTATTACTTTGACTATCCAAAATAACGCCTTGACCATATCATCTTTGTTACATTAAATAGCCACCATCAAATATATTTTTCAAAACATTTTCGTGTTGTTTTAATTTTGTAACCGAGTAAACATTGTACGGGAGATTCGCGGTCGAAACATGAATTTGGACACTCAAACTACGCCTTATGTTTTAACTTTTGAAGTTTTAACACGTTGGGATTTTCCCTCCGATCCTGTCCAAGACAACTATTTATATCATAAAGATCATAATATAAGCCATGCAAACATCGATTTGACAAACCCGAAAAGACAGCACGCTAGCCTTTGCACAAAGAAATACCAGCCAAGAAAGAAATTACAATCATGACCGAAGAATCATCCGAGTTTGGCATCAACACCCGTCACCTGCCTATGGCACCAGCATAGCAGCCACCAAAGGAAAAAAAATGATGAATCACCTTCTCACTCAAGCTCAAAGCGGCTTCATCGCTGATGTGCAGCTTTGCGGATCTCGAAGGTGGCTCAAAGGTGAAATTATTCTCGTTGTACGAATCAGACCGGCGCAACACCCTAGACACGCCATCGAACCCCAGGTCTGGCACCCCCACACGACTAAGACATCGGAGGAGACAACCATACATGCCATCCACGAACCATGAACCCAACACACGATTCATCATCTTCAGATGCCGTCGATGTAGACCACAATCTGCATCCACTTCTGGATTATCTCCCAAGCTGCTCCGTGTCGGCGCTGGAGCAAACGCTGTCGCAATGGAGGAGCCCAAGGACACAAGTCCACCATGAAGATCCCGCCGCCGCCACGTCATCCTTACTTGAACAGACTAGTTTCCAAATCCATCCCCAATCATAGGGCCGATCGCCTCATTGGGAAAGGATCTAAATATTCTTTATTTAGTGTCGCCATCGTCGCCACCAAAGCCAAGATGAACAACCTAAAAACCTAAACTACTATAGCCTAAACTATCCACACGCATGGATCCGGCGATCCCCCTCACAACCGATGACCGAGGTCGTCGGCGGAGGGGAGTCGCCGGATACGGTGATGGAAGAAGATGCTCCTGGCCGCTGCGTGAGGACGCCCTTTCTTTCTTTGCGAGGAAGAAAGAAGCACAATTTATTTCATTGTTTGGTGCTACAACTATACACCCTAAAAAAAACTTCCAACTAAAGAAAACACAGCCATCTATAAAAAAAACATTTCACTATACCAAATTCTCGTGTCTTTCCTAATCCTATGTTTGGGGATCATGCGAATCAAAAAGTCCCATAAACTTGATGGACCATCCTGTCCAAAAAAAAACTTGATGGAATGAC